CAGTTACTTGGAAGGCTGAGCGGAAGGTTCGCCGGATCCCAGCAGTTTGAGGCTGCGGTGGCTGGGAGCGGCCACTGCACTCCAGTCTGGGTGACAGAGTGAGACTCCAACTCAAAAAAAAAAAAAAAAAAAAAAGAATGTATCTGGTATTTGTTCCTGGTTCTTGACAAAGCACCTACACCCTTAGAATTTTCCAAGGGATAGAAGTGTCTTTGTTATTTATGAGGGCCTTGGACCATACCTGGCTTTACACTGAGGAGGTGGCTTAGAATGGGGGCTGGTCATGCCAGAAACACCAGCCATGGGGGTTGGGATTTTCAGTCACCTGACCTCTGGGAAGAAGACAGGAACAGGACGTGGAGTTCAATCACATGGTCAATGATTCAGTGAGTCAATCTATGTGCCTATGTAATGAGACTCCAGTAAAAACTCCTGAAACACTGAAAAGGTAATTGGACCAATCCTCCCTATGTACTGAAACCCCAATAAAAATTGAGGTCACTGAGTTCAGTGGAGTTTCCTGGTTGGTGAACTCATCACCAGAATGTGGGGCAAAGATGATGGGACCTGAGTTTTGTGGAGCAAGGATGTGGGACCCTTCCAGACCCCACCCCATGTGTCTAATCATTTGGCCTGTCCTGATTTGTATCCTTTTCATAAAACTGTAGCTGGGTGCAGTGGCAACCTGGCAAGACCTTGTCTCTACAATTAAAAAAACAAAATTACCCAGACATGGTGGCACGTACTTGTAGTCCCAACTACTTGGAAGGCCGAGGTAGGAAGGATTGCCTGAGCCCAGCAGTTGAGGCTGCAGTAGCTGTGATCATGCCACTGTACTCCAGCCTGGGCAACAGAATGAGACTCCAACTCAAAAAATCTCCCCAAAACTGTATTGCACTTTCCTAAGTTCTGGGAGTTGTTCTGTTGAATCATGAAACCTGAAGATGTCATGAGAACCCCTGAATTTATAGTCAGTTGGTCAGAAGTGTGGATGACCCGGGAACCCTCCAACTTGCAGATATGGGTCTTGATGTGGACGGTGTCCTTAGCCTGTGGATTGTGTCTGCACTGACTCTGGGTTGTTGTTGGCAGGACTGCATTAGAGAACTACAGGAGATCATCCGGTCAGGTCCTACATGCAATCCCAAGGGTCCTTATAAGAAGGAGACAGAGCAAGATTTGGCACAGAAGAAGGCATTGTCATGGCTGAAACTAGCTGCTACCCTGCTGGCTTTGAAGATGGATCAAGGAATGCAAAGGGCCAGGAACCAAAGAATGTAAGAAATACAACTCTAGAAACTGGAAAAAGCAGGGGAGCAGAGTCTTCCTCAGAGCTTCCAGAAAGAGCCTGGCCCTGGTGACACCTTGGTTTTGGCCCAGTGAAATTTGTTACAGCAGCAGTAGGAAACTCATACATTCCTCCAAGTCAACTGTCTGGAAATCCATCAGCTCAGCATTCAGTTCACTAGGCAAGTCAGGTGGCCCCTGGCCTAGTGTAGTACCTGCTATGGGCTGCAGTTGCACAGGGCTCAGAGAAAGATTGTGGTGTCAGCTGGCTACAGTATTGAGAGGTCTTCACCTGGCCAGGGAATGCAGAGGTGTCCTACTTCCCTTCCTGTCAGTTGATACTGTCACAGTCCAGAAGCCTGGGGCCTCCCAGAAGCCTGGAGTCCTGGTCTCAGTTCTGCACAGAACTAAAAGTTGCCAGCCTGTCACTCCCTCAGTTAAACACGTCTCCAAGAGAAAATCTTGGAGAGCCCCTAGCTCCCCAGGAAGGCAGAAAACTGGGAGTGTAGGGTGAATTCAGATCAAAAGTCCCTGGTTGATAAAGCCAAGGTCTATACATACCACAATCCCATGTGAGTTCAGCTATCTCCATGACTTTCTCTCTCTCTCTTCCTTTATTTTAGAGATGAAGTCTTGCGATGTTGCCCAGACTGGAATGCACTAGCTATTCACAAGCATGATCATAGCACATTACAGCCTCAAAACTCTGGGCTCAAGCAATCCTCTCACCTCAGCCTCCCTAGTAGCTGGGACAGCAACATAGCCACTCCTAGTTTTCCCAGCTTTTCTTTTGCTGGGTCTTCTGCCTGCAAAACCCTCCCTTCCCAGCTTCATTTGCTGAAATCTCATTGTACCTCGGAAGTTCACTTTTTTT